TAGAATTTGAATGATTTGTGGAGCGTTGGAATATTACAGGTGAGGAGTGAAATTATCGTGGACTATATTTAGCCCTCTTAATTGACATGTATTTCTCAGCTGTGTGTGACCTAACACCCTCATGACTAGTAGACAAATTCTTTTGGAATGTACATAAAAGATACCCACCTTCCACCAACCCAAAGGCTAAGACCTCATCAGCCAGTCCCTGAGACCTATGATAGTGACCATTGATGTGCTGTAACCCTCTTAGTGTGTGACTTATTACATGTTCTGGAACTCCTAAAAGCTTCATGCAGTACTTACCCCACTGGAATGTGGTATTTGAATCTGTGTTCCTGGGCCATGGTCACTCATATTTGGTTCCAGAATTGCTGTGGAATAATTCTCTTGTACACTATAAAGATTTGTCATTCAAATTGGTTTAATAAAATTCTGATTGGCCAGTAGATAGACAGAAAGTATGGGGGCACAAACTAAGGATGATAGGAAGGAGCAGGGCAGAGTCAGGAGTCATCATCCAGACGAAGAGGGAGCAGAATATGAACATGCCATTCTAACAAACGTATCACCACATGGTAGAACGAAAATAAGCAATATGGATTGGCTTAAAATGTAAGAACTAGCTGGTATAAGCCTGAGCTATTGGCTGAGCCTTTATAATTAATGCAAACCTCTGAGTGATTATTTGGGACTGGGCATTCAGGACAGGAAATGTCCAACTACACAGAATAAAGTCTTGTTCCTTTTTAGGTGAGAGCTGGTGGGGGGGGGGGTGTTGACACTGGTATCAATCCTAGTTTCTTATTATCTCCTCAAGCAGACATACACCCTTGAGTCTGTACCTAAGTCACAACCAAACCAGCTCCTACACCCCCAGCCCTCTCTGGACTAGTTTTATATCAATTTGACACAAGCTGTAGTCATTTGATAGAGGGCACCTCAACTGAGAAAGTACCCCCAGGGCTAGCCTGTAAGCAAGTCTGTGGAGCATTTTCTTTATTGGTGACTGATGTGAGAGGGCCCATATCAGTATGGGTGATGCCACCCCTGGGCAGATGACCCTGGAGTATATAAGAAAGCAGACTGAGCAAGCCATGTGGAGCAAATCAGTGATCAGTGTTCCTCCATGGCTTCTGCTTCAGTTCCTGCCTCCAGGTTCCTGCCCAGACTTTCTTCAGTAATGGATTATATAAGCTATAAGGCAAAACAAACCCTTGCCTCCTCAAATTGCTTTGGGTCATGGTGCTTTAATCATAGAAATAGAAACCCTATTTAAGACTGTGGTATGAAGGCATGTTCATGTGTGTGTATAGGTGCACTTGCATGTATACATACATGTGGGAGCCAGAGGACAATTTCCACTATTCTTTTTCAAGTACCATTACCTGGCTTTTTAAGACAGGGTCTCTCACTAGCTTATAATGTCACTAGACTATTGGGCAGTGAGAATCAGGCATTGGTCTGGTTCTGCCCTTCATGTTAGAATTACAAGCATGTGCCACCATGCCCGGCTATTGACAAGTGTTTTGCAGGTCAAATTCAGGTCCTCACACTTGCAAAGCAAGCACTGTACCCCTATGCTATCTTCTCAGTTTTGGGACCCACACCTCTTGGTCCCTTGATTAGCCAGCATGGGAAATTTATGGAGGGTTCTTTGGATGTCGATAAAAACCCACAGAATCAACTAACCTGGATTCAGTAGGACTCACAGAGTCTGAACTGACAGCGAGGGAGCTTACACGGGACTAGTTAGGCCCTCTCCATGTATGGGTCAGTCATGTAGCTTGGTTTCCATGTGTGGCTCCTAACAGTGGGAGCAGAAGTTGTCTCTAACTCTTTCTCTGGCTTTTGGGACTCTATTCTTCATACTGGGTGGCCTTGCCCAGCCTTAACACAAGGGGAGGTGCTTAGTGCAACTTGATATGCCATATTTTGTTGCTCTCCACAGAAAGCCTGGTCCTTTCTGAACAGAAATGGAGGGGTGGATAGGAGGAGGCAGAAGGAAGGTGCTGGGGAGTGAATGGGAGGAGAGGACAGAGGGGTAACTGTGGTCTGAATGTAAAATAAATAAATAAATTTAAAATTAAAAGAGAGAGAGAAATAAAATGCAGGGCTTCTGCTTTTCCAAGCAGAAGGCTTGACTGTAAGACCTGTCTAAATATGTCACCCAGAACAGCAGCGGTGAGGAAGCCAGGAGGAACAGGAGCTTCCCTTCTTCCCTTCTTCGGCACCTGTTTCCTCCCATCTGAAACTGCAGGTTTACAGAGTACCAGGCTGTGTGCCTGTGGGACTCACTCTGGCATCCCTTTCTCACCTTTGCTTAAAGCCCTAGCGAGGGCAATGATGGTGGCTAATTTTATCAACTTGACACAATCTAGAATCCCCAGAGCCTCCATGAAGAATTGTCTAAGTCAGGCTGTCTTAATTACAGTAATTGAAGTAGGAAGCCCCATCTGCTGTGAGCAGTGCCATTTCCTGGGTGTGGGTTTTGGACTGTGTAGGTGGAGAGGGAGATGAGCATAAGAAACACACCTTTGCTTTTCCCTCTGCTCTTGACTGTGACCATGACTAGCTAGCTACTTCAGGGTCATGCCTTGCCTTCATCATGCCTTGCCTTCATCATGCCTTGCCACTGTACTTAAGCACAGCAGGAAAAAAATGAAGCTATGACCAAAGCACTTGATATTGGGAACCTTTGTTTTTTATTTCATATTATTATTTTATTTTTCAAGTCTAAAATTCAGTTTATCTGGACTTTACCAGATCTCGCATCTTCTGCTGTTTTCTGTTGCACTGCCAAGTCACCTGTTGTTTCAGAATCATAAGGACACAGAAAAGCAATGGCTGTCTCTACTCTGTCATTTTCTCTTCCCAGAGTATATGTCTTTTATGAGTATGCATGTGTATATCTATCAGGGGAGAGTGAGGAGTGTGCAAGCTTGGGCGTGGTGTATGTGGATATGTGTGTGCACATGTCTGGGAAGGAGGATGTAGGGTGTACATGTATGTGTGTGGTGTGGGGCGTGCATGTGATGTGTAAGTGTGTACATGCATGTGTGTGCAAGTTTTGAAGTACACATTTGTTGTCAGTAGCCCCTTAGTATATTTTCTCTATGTCTGAATGTTTCCATTGGTTCAGAATATTCATGCATGAGCTCACTTTGTTGGTAAAGACCTAAGTTTGATCCCATAACCCATGTAAGAAAGCTGGGCATAGTGGCATGTGGTAAATCCTAGGCAATAAGAAGCCCTTTGTCAAAAACTAGCACTCACACACACACACACCACTCACAATACACACACCACAACACACACTCATACACATACATACACACATGCTAATAACAACAACAACAACAGTAATAATAATGATAATAATTTTAGGCAATATGGAAGCACCTGAGAAATGGCAGCCCAGGTTGACCTCTTGCTTCCACATACATTTGCTCACCCCCCACTTGTTGTTGTTTATGGTGCGAGTGGGACCCTTGAGGGCCCTATGGTGGGTGAGGACCATGAGACAGAGACCTTTGTGGTGCGACCCCTGGTAAGTGGGTATAAACCGTGGCAGGTGACAAATATGCCATGCAAACAGAGCTTAAGTCTGGAGTTTTACTGGAGGAAGGGAAGGGAGTGGGGAAAAGGAAAGGAGAGAAGGAAAGAGAAGAAAAAGAGAGGGAATAAAGAGAAGAGAAGAGAGAAGAGAAGAGAAGAGAAGAGAAGAGAAGAGAAGAGAAGAGAAGAGAAGAGAAGAGAAGAGAAGAGAAGAGAAGCAGAAAAGTCCTGCCTTCTCCTTCAGAAGAACAGCAGGGAAAGAGAGACCAGGAGTGGGTGGACTCTGTCTCTTAAAAGGGACCTTTGCACCTGCGCACAGACTAGGACCCTGGGCTGACCAGGATACTGCCTGGGTGCATCCTGCCAGATGACAGGGTAAGCCAGCATAATGCCTGAATCCTAACACCACCAGCCCCCCTCAACCCCAAGAAGTAAATTTCTTTTTATTGTGGCATAGACTTTTTCTCTGACAACAAAACAAAGCAAAACAAAACTATTCTTATTTATTAATCTAGTACTGGCGACCTGAATTTTTCCAGGTTGGGATGGGTTTTGCACCAAGCTGCTAAGAATCATTTTGTTTCTTCCTTGAACCTTTGTGACTATTTTTGGACTGCAATGTGAGCTGTAGAAGACACTGTTTGGGTTCTGTTTCCAGCTCCACTAATTAAAAGCTGTATAACCTTGGGCCAGCTATGTGAATATTCTGTGCTTCAAACAGATCTGATAGTAAAACGGCAGTCATAGCACCTACTACAGCCTGGGTCGTTAGATAGATCAGTACATGAATCAGTTAGGAAAGTGCCTGACTCTACAATGCATTAAACAAACAAGGACAGCTATGATTTAACCCGGGCCTAGTTTTATTTCTGTTGCTGTGATAAAAGGCTCTGACAAAAAACAACTTGGAGAAAGCATTTATTTTAGCTCACAGTTCCAAAATCTCATTCTATCATTGCGGGAGTCCCAGCAGCGAGAGCTGGAGACAGCTGGTCACATCCACAGTCGAGAGCAAAAAGAAGTGAATCCATGCTTGCTTTCACTCAGCTTCATTCCAGTTCTTGACCCCCTCCCTGCCTAGGGAATGATGTGGCTAAGAACAGTCTGGGTCTTCCCACATCAGTTAACTTAACTTAATGTAGACAACCCATCACCAAGACTCAGGGTGTTCTAGATTGTGTTAAGTTCACAGTTAATCAATACAAACCCCGTCTCTCAAGTCAACACAAATGGACTGGAAGTGATGGCATCTTCAAATCGAGACAGTATATCACCAGATCAGAGAGGACCATGTTTCTAAAAAACGGTAGAGCTGCTGCATGCCCTTCCATTCCAGAAATGGTAGTTACATGGAATGGTGTGTCAGAGGTTCGGCCACCTCCCTCTAGCATCTTCCTGTCTCACAGTTCCTTATTTCACTTCCTGACTCAGAATAGATCCAAGGAGTGAGCAACAGTTCGTGGTAAATCGATGTTATTGTCCCCATCAGTCGCCAGCACAGTGGGACATCAGTGAAACATGAATGACTCCGAGGACGGGAGGGTGCAGCAGCTGTGCTCCCTGGGTAAGAATGGTCCTAGATTCTGGGGACTTAGAGAGGGGTCTCAGGGGGCCTCCTCGAGTCTCAGTTTGCCAAGGATGTGACTGATGCTCTGTCCACTCAGATGAGGAACACCTGATAACCAGCGGCACCAGATACTCCATCAAAGGCTTCAGATTCGAACCACCCTATGTCCTCAAAAGAGCTGCAGGTAAAAGGAGAAGGGAAAAGACAGGTTTCTTCAGCCATCTGTGTCCTGGGGAGGGGGTGAATGGAAGTCTGGTTCTCTAAGACTGAGGAAAGAGGAAGATGGAGACTGGACCTCTGGGTACTATGAAGGTAGGGGCTAAGGACTGGACTCCTGGTTTCTATAGGGTGGAGGTTGAGGATGGCACTCAAGTTTTAGGGAGGGGAACACTGGGTATGATGTGGAGTTGGAGGCTGAAAACTCTACTTCTCAGTCCAACGGAGGGGAAGCTCACAGCTAGATCCTGAGGATGTGGAGCCTGAGGGCTGAACTTCTGGGGTCCTGTAGAAGCAGAGGCTAGAACTAGACTCCTCCATTCTACAAGCAAAGATTGTGTCTACTGCAAGTGGAAGCTGAGTTTTTAGAGTCCTGTGTCTTTGGGTGGCTATCTGGGAGACTGAACTCCGGGGTCTGAGGCAGACAGAGGCTCAAATGCGCACTGACATGTTCAAGGATGCAAACCTGGGTTCCTAAATGCTGGTGTGGTTGAGTCTCAAGGGACTGAACTGTATTCTGAAGAAATTTGTCCTCCTGGGTCTTTGAAAGGTAGAACACATGGCTCTGGACTCCGGGGCCCTGGGAGTGATAACAGCTGAAAACCTAGAGTGGTAAGGGTGAGTCTGGGAGTTGAACTCCTGGGCATGCTGGGGCATTCTTCAGAGACAGTGGAGAGGAATGAAAGTTCTGGGATTCTAGAGAGAAAGACAGGTTTTGGAATCTTGAGTCCTAGGAAAGAAGGAAAACAAGGACTGGACTATTCATTAATGGAATGGTTGAGTTAGAAAAGCATCTTGGATCTTAGGGAAGTGAAAGCTGAAACACAGGCACAATGGATGCCGGGGCAGTGGAAGCTGTAGTTCTGGGAAGAGGACGCTGGTGTCATAGCGAGTCAGGGACACTGTTGTGATGGGACTCCCGCCTTCTCTCCTGCAGGGCACCTGTGCCATGGCCATGTCCCCATTGTGCTGCAGCTGTTATGTCTCACACTCTCTGCTGTTCTCCTTCTGGCTGTCCTCATCAAAGGTCAGGCGGGTCTGGGGAATGGGGGAGGCAGGTTAGGAACTTCTCAGAGACCTTCTCGCCTCTAGAGTAGAGGAGGGTCCGAGCTCCACTTACCCAGGCCATTCAGTCTCCTTTGAATATCAGATTTCCTTGTCCTCGAGAGGTATTAAACCAGCAGCTAGATAGATAGCCTCCTGGTTAAAAGCACTTGTCAAAGAAACATGAGGACCTGAGAGTCTGGATCCCAGAACACATGTGAAGCAGGATACGGTGAGGCATGTTTCTGTAACCCTAGCTATGGTGAGATGGACAGCAGAGACAGGAGACCCTTGCAAGCTGGTGGGCCAGCTAACCTTATTTACAGGGTGGTGAACAAGAGACCCTGTATCAAAAAAAGTGAAAGGCGAAGGCTAACACCCAGAGTTGTCTATCCTCTGGGTCTGCAGGTGTGTGACAGCATGTCCACAATCACAAATACACATGCACGTGCACAGCCTCCTGCAATTTTAAAAAGAGGTATTAAACAAGATATTATGGGTTTTTTTAAATCTCCCTGGGGAACAAGTGCAGGCCATGACTTATAAAGTGTTTGATAATGGCAGACTCCTTTTCTTGTCACAGTCTCCAGTATTGCCAATACGCAGGGACGAGAACAGGCAAAGAAGGAGAAGGTTTACAAGGAGATGAGTCAACTGAAGCCTCAAATAAGTGAGTGACGGGAAGGCAGAAGGCCCTGGGGACTCAGAGGGTCTCCATGGTACATGGCTTGGCTTCAGCCACCACCCATTTCTAAGCCTCCATGTCTTCTCATTTGATTTGATAACTTTATGTAAAGGAGAAAATGAGGGGGTGGCAGTATTTCTCAGCAGTTAAAAACACTTGTCAATAAGCCTAGTGACCTAAACTTGCTTCTTGGGACTCCCAAGGTGGAAGGAGAGAACTCACTCCCTGAAGTTGTCATCTGCCCTTCACGTCCACGCCATGGCATGGGCATGACTACACACACACACACACACACACACACACACATTAATTTATTCACTGGTTGGTTAAAATTAGGATCAATAGAAGTTAGTATTCAAAAAGAACAGTGAACATGGCTAAAATTCAGTTAACTGATCTCCAAAGGTCTGTGCCAAGTTCATACTTCTCCCCGGCTTGAGGGGATGCCAGGACTTCCAGGTTCTCTCACGGTGAGGTATATTCTCAGAGAGTAGAGAGGAATGGCTACCCAGAATGCTGTGTCTGAGGAGCTCCTGCAGGGATTGAAGGCCGGGAGGGCACGGAAATGGACATCCAAGCACATGACCATCCTGACCAAACTCCTCCCAACAGACCGCCTGTGCCGCCCCTGCCCCTGGGACTGGACCCTCTTCCAAGGAAACTGTTACTTCTTCTCCAAGTTCCAACAGAACTGGCATGACTCTGTCACCGCCTGCAGAGAAGTAGGAGCCCAACTAGTGGTTATCAAAAGTGATGAGGAACAGGTATGTCTGGTGGGATCTGAACGGTTCTGCTGCATGTGTCTGATCATAGGCATCTGAGGAGAGACAAGTTTGCTAGTTTGGATTATGGGCAAGTGCTGCTTACTCCACTTGGGAAAGGAAGAAAGGAAGAGCAGAAAGAAAAATATCCCAAGCACTATGTTTCATACACACCACCACCACCACCACCACCACCACCGTCATACAGTGTCTAAATACGAGTGGGTGCTTTGGGTAGCACATAATACAAGTGGCTTCTGTTGGTACACTGGGAAGCGCTGAATGACTTCCTTTACTGAACTTTTTTTTAAAAAAAAAAAAAAGCCCAGTGTCTACCATTTGCCAATTCTTCCTGTTGTAAATGTTGCCATACTGACCGAATTCATGTTACCAATGGGTCCATCCCTCAATGTGGAGCTCAGAAGAGATCATGTACATGATCAGAAATGAGGAACTGGTACAAGCTGGCTTTAGCCCTTGTACCTAGTGGTGAGTTAATCTATCTGAGCATGCTCAGAACTCATAAGGCAGGCAGGCAGGCGATATTAGCACGTGCCATGGGAGGCAACTCAGAACAAACAGGATACAGAGGTGGGAACCATGAGACTTTGTGGGACCCTGGAAAGATGAATATCAGACTACAAGCTGAACTTCCCGCTTAGAGTTGGTGCAGGAGAACAATAGGGAGTCTCCAAGGTAAGTAGCCTCTAGCTGACTGCTTCTCTGCCCTCCAGAGCTTCCTGCAGCAGATGTCTAAAGAGAAAGGCTATGCCTGGATGGGTCTGTCAGATCTGAAGCATGAAGGCATGTGGCACTGGCTGGATGGTTCACATTTGCTGTTCAGGCAAGTCTGGGAAAGAGGAACAAACAGCCTATAGCATTGGGTGGTGTGTTACTTACTTTACCTTCAGTAAAACAACCCCTTCAAACATGGAAGATCACAAGGATCATGGGCCGAGGTCAAAGGACTTGGGTACCTCATTGACCCAGAACAGGTCACATCTGCTGTAATGCCCGTGAGGCAGAAGTGAAAGCATCCCATTTTGATGACAGAAACATGTTGAGGGGCGGGAGATGGATAAGTTGATAAATTGCTTGCTGTGTGTTCTAGTTTCATTTCCGTTGCTATGATAAAACACACTAACTAAAAGCAAGTTAGGGGAGAAAATGGTTTACTTCACCTTTCCATAATTTCAGGTCCCAGTCTGTCATTGTGGGAAGCTGAGGCAGTTAGTGACGTCACGTCCACAGTCGAGAGGAAAAAGAAATGAAAGCATGCATGCTCACTTGCATGCTGGATTTCTCCACTCTTACACAGTTCAGGGCCCCCTGCCTAGGTACTGGTGCTGCTCACAGTGGGCTGGGTCTCCCCACATCTCTTAACATAATTTAGAAAATCCTTCACAGACACTGCCGCAGCAGACCAGTCCAATACAGACAGTCCCTAAGACGTCTTTGTAGGTGACTCTAAGTTGTGTCAAATTGACAGTGATAACTGACCATCACATGGTGCAAGCATGAGGACCTGAGTTTCATCCTCTGAAACCACATAAGAAATCCAAGTGTTTTGACATGGGCTTGTCATCTCAGCACAGGAAAGGCAGAAACAGTAGATCCCTGACGCTCATTAAACAGACAGTTTAGCTAAATTGGTTAATTCTAAGCCAGTGAGAGACCATGCCTCTAAAATCAAGGTGGAAAGTGATTAAAGATGCCTGGGGTTGACCTATGGCCTCTTCATATACAACCATAAATGTGTACATGTTTCTGCACATAAACATGCACACACAAAAATAAGCACACACACAGGAGAGATGAGGAGGGAGAAACATAGTTGATAAAGAGGAGGTGGGACTAATTCTCATACTTTTATGGGTGTTGGTCAAGGAAATTTATGAAAGAATAGTATCTAATTGGGGTTCATGGCTCCAGGGGGTTAGAGTTCATGACCATCATGTCAGGGAGCATGGCAGCAGGAAAGCAGGCATGATGCTGGAGAAGAAGATAATACTCCACATCTCAAACCATAAGCACAAGACAGAAAGCTAACTAGAAATGTTGTGAACTTTTAAAACCGCGAAGTCCACCTCCAATGACACTCCCTCCTCCAACATGGCCACATCTCATAATCCTTCCCCGACAGTTCCACCTACTGGAAACCAAGCATTCAAATATATGAGCCCTGGGAGCCATTCTCATTCAAACCTCAATTGGTTTTGCAGTTTCATGAAATATTGGAACAAAGGAGAGCCCAACAATGAAGGAGAAGAAGACTGTGCAGAATTCAGAGATGATGGCTGGAATGATGCCCCATGTGCAGTGGAGAAATACTGGATTTGCAAAAAGTCTGCTATGTCCTGCACCAAAAACTGATGTCTCATCTGTCTGTAGCACCTGTTGCCAAAATGACCCTGTGGAGTGACTGAACTTAACCCACAATGTATGCCAGTTCCTTCCTCTGTGAACATGAAAGACTTAACTGCAGCTGTTTCCTTGTTTGCCCTCCCCTGTATGCCTGTGTGTGTGTGTGTGTGTGTGTGTGTGTGTGAGAGAGAGAGAGAGAGAGAGAGAGAGAGAGAGAGAGAGAGAGAGGAGAGGGGGTGTCTCATTTTTACCTTGAGACCACCATGAGGGTATGTTTTGGAAGTGAAGGGAGTCTGATTGTTATGGCAGTGGAGAAGTACAGACATGCTCTCTGTTCTGGTCAAGTTTCAGCAATAACAGACTACAACATGGAACGCAAGTGAAATAAACTCTTTATCTTCTAAACAGTTTTGTTGGCGTAGTTTATCACAGCAACAGGAATCTTAATTAAGACCCAGCATCTCTCACTGACTCTGGAGTTTGTCATGTAGGCCATGTAAGCTGCATAAGGCTGGCCAGGGCCGCAGCCGCCCTCCTATCTGCAGGTCTGGGATCACAAGCATGAGCTACCATGCCTGGCTTTTTGCATGAACTCTGAGGATTTAACTTGATTCCTTATGCACACATGGCAAACACTTTACCAGCTAAGCAGTACCCCCATCCCGAGGATTCATGATGTGTAAGCATTTTCTCCCATCTGTGAGTTTCTCTTTATTCCTCTTCCTGATTTCAAGGAGAATACTGATAATTTTTTCAAATATGAATGAAGCTTACTATGGTTTCTGTGAGTTTGGAGGGGTACATGTGAGTACCTGTGTGTGTGTGTGTGTTTGTGTGTGCGCACATGGGAGTGCACATGCCCATGCAAGTGCATGTGGAGACCAGCATCACCTCTACCATGGCCTGCTTTATTCTTTTGAAACAAGGTCTCCTCTGACTAAACGTAGAACACCTCCTTTTCAGCTAGGCTGGCAGCCGAAATGCCCAGCAATCCTCCTCTCTCCACTCCCATCCCCAGCACTGATATTAGATGGTCACACCCAGTTTCCTAGTTAATGTCAGCTATCAGTGGGTTACAAAAAGAGAAGGAGGAGATAAAGTTGAGAAAGTCCAGGAAGAGTTGGTGGGAGAGAAAAGAGTGAGGATATGATCTAAATATATTGTACATGTGTAAGAAATTACTGAAGAACAAATCTAAGACTGGCTGTTCAGGATGTGTGTGCATGGAGAAACATGGCATCTCACCTCAGTCAGGGCATAAAGCTTTGCTTCCTTGTCTGTAAGTCACTCAGGAGCCTGGACTCCCATAGGAGGTTAGGATAAGAATGGCACTGGGAGAGGGGTTGCAGTGAGATGACTCAGTGGGTAAAGAGCTTACCTGGGAAGTCTGAAGGCCTGGATTTGATTCTTGGAATTCACATAAAGGTGGAAAGTGAGAACCATCTTCACAAAACTGTCTTCTGACATTTGAGTGCATGCTGTGGTGTCCTCGACAGTCTAGCAACAATAGTAGTAGTGGTGGCAATAAAGAATGGCAGTAGACCTGGGGGTCTGTTTTCTTTTATACATCCCAGGTAAAGAAATAGTAATGACTCTTGGGATTACTTATAGGAGTGTAAGAGGCTCAAAGGTATCTTGACATTTTTTTCATTTAAATTAGCATGCTAGGTATTAGAAATTTTCTAACAGAGTATGTTTCACTAGATACTTTCCAGGGAAGCCAATGCTCTCTTCTGACCTCCGTGGGCACCAGGCAGCTCTCCCTTAGCTAAATTCCACATTGTGTGATTTGATGTCTCCTAGGGAAATCTATTGGTAAATTCTTTATAACATCAATCACTTTGAGTTTCTTCTATATCATTCTCACCTGTTAAAGCTATTAAAAATTTGTGCCATGGGAAACTGAACACTCACGATCCTCCTGTTTTATCACCACACTGACTCCAAAATCAGAACCATTTCTAGCTTCTTAGCCTCTCTCCAAGTGGTGATTAAACTGTGCCAAACAGCTCCGAGTGCATGGTCTGAATGGCCACCATAGTACAGTCAGAAGGAAGGGTCCTGCTAAAGACAATAACCAAACTTCTTTAACCCAGAAGTCATTCCAAGAATACCAGGAGTTCTCCAGGACTTCCCTTTCCTTTGGCTGTCTCACAATGTTTCTCACCATTACTGAATTATTAGCACAGTAACAGCCCTCTTCCTTCAAACCGGCACATAATCCTTGCTCCAGGGTTGCAAGGTCCTACTCAACTTCAAAAATTTTATATCATCTACAAGAACCACCTATTATTTGGATTGGTATCCAGGCACAGCTTTTTAAAGGTTTCAGATAAATTGTTGAAAACCTATTATTTCTAGATATTTCAGAGTTAATAAAATTCTTCATATCAGAGTCCAATTCTTGGGAGTCATCACTGCTAGCCCCATAGCAAGCATTATGACAAATATTACATGAGTCCAAAGGGAGGAAGAACTATCATGATCTGTAGTAGGAGCCTTCTTGCTCATTTCCCAGCCACCCAAACTCCCAAAAAAAAATCACACAGTAACTATATTATTTAAATCACTGCTTGGCCTATTAGCTCTAGCTTCTTATTGGCTAGCTCTTACATATTAATTTAACCCATCTCCATTAATCTGTGTATTGCCATGAGGCTGTGGCTTCATAGCATCTGTCTCTGGTGGGGCTACGTGTCTTCTCTCTTACTCCACCTTTTTTCTCCTCACATTCAGTTTAGTTAGCCCTGCCTACCCTATTCTGCCCTGTGCAGGCCTAAGACCAATGGTATTAACAGCATACAGAGGGGAATCCCACATCAATAATCCCCATCTTCAAATGTCCCCTACTGAACTCCTCAACCTTCTGTAGTGATTAGACCTGTTGGCATCCAGGTTTACAATTTGAGAAAGCTGGTCCCTGTGTCTCTGAAAAATGACTCATATAGGCTGGTCTAGGTGAACTTTCAAAGTCCAGGTCTCCTTATAGGGAGGGAAGAAGTTTTTCTGATCTTGTCTACATGACAGAAGACAAAGCAGAAGACTCTAGTAGTCTTATTTCTCATGTATATTTGACCTGTATGCGTGTAAATTTACTGATGGGGTCCATGTTCCATTCAATGACGAGGTTTTCCTTGAAGATGTCCTGCCAAATAAGTGTAAATTTAACACATGCTGTTGAACATTTAATTCTCCATAACTAATTTTTATATACCTGACTTTGAATATTATCTTATATTGAACAAACTTCAAGTTAACTTTTAAACTTGTTTGAGTTGCATGTTTTAGACTTAACTTTGGCTAAATAATGGAAGATCAAATTTGGTCTCTTTTTCTCCCTGATTTGTCTCTGTAAATAAGGTACATTTGCAGTTAATATGGCTACAAACACAGTTCTGGTACATGGTGCCTTAATGACCTTTGTTTCAACAGTTTACTACAAATTAGCAACTCATACAAGATTAGAATTTATAAACTAATTAAATTTATTCCTTTTAAGATTTTAAGCCTTAAAAAACATAACTTTGAAATGAAGATTTTTTTAGTACCAAAATATATTCTAAGCCATAAATATAGTTTATGAAGAATCTAAGCACCTCATTCATCATCCCTTTATGGAATATATTTGCAAAATCTAAACCAACATATTTTTATGAGGTGGTTCATTTTAGCACAAAGGATATAATTACAGGAGAGAAAAGTAAGATTGGTTCTTTAACAGGGACATCTATAAGAACAAAAGACATACAATTAATTTTTACCACAGTTTTTACATGACTCAGTTTCCCCAAATAGTTAAAGCTTAAGAAAGTTAACAAAGACATACACACATGCCTAGATATGATCTTTAAGTCAGTTTATATTCTCAGGAACATTTTAAAATGCTCAACACTAAGTGCATTATCTTTGCATATGACAAATTCTTCATTGGCTTGATGAAACCTGATCATGGTTTCAATTTTTTTATGATTTTTATTCCTGTCTTTATTTAACCTATGTCCATAAAACTTTAATATGGGTGAGAATAAGACCACAACCACAATTTTTGAGCCAAATTTGAAGCAAGCTTTATTAAATACTGGACAGGAAGATAGACACTGACCTGGTCCATAACTGGGATTCCCAGAGAATGACCACAAGCTACCATCACCAAGTGCATATAAAGGCTATGTATTTCCTGCCTTTATCCCATCAAAAACAAGCATACACCTTAACTTACATTCTGCCTACATACCTCATACCTACATATGGTCAAGCACATCCAGTGTAACTGGGTCAATCAAACTTGTTTAGGTAAGTGAAATTATGTGGTTTGTTATCTTACATAATCAACAGTCTCCAGCATCTCAGGAAGTGTATGTCCTGGGGCAAGGGCCTTACAAGTTAGAGGCATTTTTGTTTTATGGATCTCTTAGGCATAGTAATTAAAATTCAAAACATAACTTTGGCTCTCACATAATTCCATTGTCTGATTCCATTTTGTGTCTCCTTATACACTTCCCAGCCTCTAACTCCAACATACACATCCACTTTGGCAACACATTTGGAATTTCCATGACTCTGATCATGGTCCAGATGCGCTAAACAGAGTAATTCATATTATATAAATTAAAATAACTGAAAAAAGTATAGATCAAACTTAATTGTCACACTGTGTCTGAAATAACTATTTTTTGTCAAAACAAATGTTGCAAAGTTGCCCTGACCCTCACCTACCACTGACGCAGTTGTAGGTTTTGCCCCTAAAAGTGTCATATCCTTAAGTTTGACTGTAATGATCTGTCCTGTCCCTTTAAGAGACAAGCCACACCCACTCTGACACCCCTTCCCTGACTGCCAAGGCAAGCTGATCTTCAGCTTCCAGCCTGAGTCCTTTCCTTTTCCATCTCCCTCTTGAAGAGGCAGCTTCTGTCTCTCCCCATTTCTCCCCTTCCCCCTCTCTACTTTTCTCTGCTTCTCTCTGTCTCTCTGTCTCTCCTCCTCCTCCTCTCCCCTTCTCCCCTTTCCTCTCCATAACCCACTAAATAAATATCCAACCTCACTCTGCATGGCGTGCCTATCCATGTCTTTGTCTCTCACCTGCCTCCTGGCTCCCTGCCCAGAACCAGCTGCCTTTGGAGACCTGAGGTGTGGTCTAATGGCAGGCCCATCTGTCTGTCTCTCCTCGTGGCCCACTGCAGCCACTTGGGGAACTGCACCATCTCTGCATGAAACTGGCTGCTCTCCAGACTGATGTCTGCTACAGCCACTCAAGGATCCACAGCACTTTTACTTAATCCATTATCTTGACACCAGGAGATTCTGAGACTTGAATCTGCTCTTGGTCTCCAGCCAAAATGAACGGACTCATATACTCTTTTTTGTTGTTGTTGTTGTTTTGATGTCTTTTGCTTGTTTGGGGGTTC